TGTTACAAATTCGCTTCTCACTACAGGGATCTCGGAAACGGTAAGAGGTACGAAGTAGCTTAAATGGGGGCAAAGTTGCGTAATCAGGGGACCAACATTATGCCTCTAAAAAATCAAGGCTAACATGATTAGTTTTCGAAATATTTGAAGAAAACCGAAATTTTAGAAATCCGTTTTTGTTTCATTTCAGCCTTGTTTGAGGTGATATTGAAAAAAGAAGAACACTTTCTCATGGCCACTTTTTGCCCTCTATCGAATGGCATAATCAATAAAAATTGATTATGCCATTCGATGCATGTAACATTTCGTCACTCCAGGACCATCATCAACTTCATTTTTTCATTTCTTTTAAATACGACCCTAGAAATTTTATTACATTTTTTGCAAGCCTTCATGACCCCCAATATTGTACTGCCTCAGCCCGAACCAGATTCAGACGTTTTGTCTCGAAAAATTCATCTTCGGTGTATTCGTTCCAAATTTATCTAATTTTTTTATTTAGATTTCTTTGTTCATTGAATTATCGTACACTGTAAGTGTCGTTAGACCTGTGAAATCCATTTAGTTATTTAAACTATTACCACCACGCGTTACAATAAAACATTTATTATTATTAACTATTACCATCACTTGGTCATACATTACTCAATTAGTTGTTGCGTCAAAATTAAAACATTATTACAATTTTAATTTCATTATGACAAATTAATTTTTAAAAATGCATTTGAGCAGTCTAAATGCCAACTGAATATTATTGTTTAAAAAATTTCAGTAAATGTTCAAAGACATTTTCGTTTTGGCAAAGGTGGAAAATGAAGATCAGCGTAATATTATCGGAATTTATTATATTTGTAACTGCAACTGTCTCTTTCACATGTCAGATGTATTTGTATGAATATCCTGAAAAAAATAGATCGGAATTTGTTTGAATTTTGAGCACTCGAGAAGCCTAGAAATAAGTATGGACACGGGAATAAAACTCTAATATTTTATTTTAATGCGTGGTGGTAATAGTTTAAATAACTAAATGGATTTCACAGGGTCTAACGACACTTACAGTGTACGGTAATTCAATAAATAAAGAAATCTGAATTAAAAATTTCGGTAAATTTGGAATGAAAACACTGAATATGAATTTTTGGAGATAAAACGTCTGAATCTGGTTCGGGCTGAGGCAGTGCAGTATTGGGGGTCATGAAGGCTTGCAAAAAAAGTAATAAAATTTCCAGGGTCGTAGTTAAAAAAATGATGTTGATGATGGTCCTGGAGAGACGAAACGTTACATATAAAAATTGATTATACCATTCGATAGAGGGCAAAAAGTGGTCATGAGAAAGTGTTCTTCTTTTTTCAATATCACCTCAAACAAGGCTAAAATGAAACAAAAACCGATTTCCAAAATTTCGGTTTTTCTCAAATATTTCGAAAACTAATCATGTTAGCCTTGATTTTTTAGAGGCATAATGTTGGTCCCCTGATTACGCAACTTTGTCCCCATTTAAGCTACTTCGTATCTCATACCGTTTCCGAGATCCCTGTAGTGAGAAGCGAATTTGTAACAGCCATACACTGTGTGTATATAGTGTGTATATAGTGTATATATAGTGTGTATATATAGGGATATAGTCAAGGCTTCCACCCTAAGTCGAGACAACAGAATTATAGGAATGAAAAATGTTTTATTTATTTTATTCAATTTATTTCCTTTCTTACATTTTAGACTGCGTTACAAATTTTAGAGATTTAAATTGATCAACTGTTCATCTTTAGGACACGGACAAATTAACATTTTTGCCCAAAAGACTGATTAGAATTATAGAATTAAAAGTGCAATAAAAAATTTATTTAAAATACTGAACTTTGTGTCGGCTTCCGATATAACACAAGCTTCTCAAATTTCAAAGATGTAAAAATATTATAAGTAATTCACTTCACAAGCTCCAAAACATTCAAATAATAGTGTGCACGATGTTCTATATAATCTATCAAAATCTTCGATACTAATACTTATCCCTTTTGCTTTTTGCAGGTTGCCCGAAGATGGGGTGCACAAAAAAATCGACCAGCGATGAATTATGACAAGCTAAGTCGTTCCTTGAGATACTATTATGAAAAAGGAATTATGCAAAAAGTTGCAGGTAACAATTGAATTTGTTTTAATAGTTTCGTTTTCCAACCATGCTATACGTCAAAAAAATTTCCAAAAATGATTGCATTGCATTGCACTTCAGACAACTAATATGATGTCAACTTTTTTTATTTTAAAATAAAGATAATATTATAAGTTCTTACAAGGGCGTCGCCAGCCAATGGGCCAGAGGGGGAGGAGGCAAGATAAAAGAGACGATGAAAGAAATATAAATTGTAGTTACAAATAGGTACAATGATTTAAGTTTTTGTAGAAATACTTTTAATAAAATCTTTTTAATACAAGAAAAATTTATAAAAAAAATTAAAAATACTTAACTAAGAAATATATAAATTTCTTAAATCTATGGGTAAACCTAAAATATTAAAAACGTGCTTCTCCTACAAAATAAATAGGTCTTCAAAATTGATGCGTTGCACACGCAGGGTAAAGATTAAAAATCCAGGGGCGTATTCTGTGGCCAAAAATAAGGATTTTTTGTTATATAAATGTGGTCTTAGGACAGCTATTGTCCAACTACAGTGTGTTAAAAAATAAAAAAATTAGTTTTTAATTTTTAATTTCTAAACCGCTTGAGATAATTTAACCAAATTCGGTGTGCATATTTAATATGACAGTAGATATGAAACAAAAAATTACCAGCTTTTGAAACTTACCAGTGTGGGTATCGTCGATCATTATTTGCTAAAAACAAACTTACTTACTTTACTTATTTACTTTACTGTATAATATTACAAATAAAATAGTTATCGTATTATGCGCCATTGTATTATCTTCACTTTTTGTTTCTTTACACTATTTTGTATTCCAAACCGATTAACAACAAAATCGATTTATTTGATCAAGTACATTTTTGCGATACTCATTACGTTACTTAAAATAATAACAAAATAATTTATTTTGATCTCTACTTAAGAAACACCCGGTATAGTTAGTTGCACTGATAAACTTTTATTCTGATTCCGATAGATATTTTTTTTCTTTTTTATTTAAAATTCAAGAGCAAAATTTTTAAAATATGAAAGCATATTAAGTACTTCTTAACAAAAATTTAATATTTTGAAAATTTTTTTCTCAAACAAATAACTTTTATACTAATTTACTACCATTGTTTTTTTAATATAGGTACTGTTTTAATTTTCAAAATTAAAGTTTAACTAAATAAAATATTTTAATAAAAATTTCCAATATTTCCTTGGTTTAATAAAATGTTTGTACTTTTTTCGAATTTCTAGGGGGAGGGGGCAGGCCCCTTGGCGACGCCCTTGAGTTCGTATCAGGAAAATTTGTACCAAGAACGAAGAACTAAAATAATGTAATAATATTTCCACTTCAAAAATATTGAGTAACTATTTAATGTTTTAATGTTGCATCATAAGACTATTTGTAGATATAATAATATATTTTTAAATGTTTCTCAAAAATTTTAAATATTAAAATAAGTTATTACATAGTTAAAAAAAAAAATATATAT